TTTACACCTACCTAAAAAAGGGATTGTCCAAAAGAATAATAGAATAGTCCACGAGAAGATGCTAGAAAATGGCAAGTAATTCCAGAAGTAACGAATTACACTATATTAAACTAAATGAAATTACATGAATAAGTTCATCAAACAAGCAAACATCTAAATAATCTTGACATAAATACATAATGCACTCACTAATTGTAAGATTCTAAATCATATATGGAAAGTACATGGTGGATTTCCTATTCTTTCCTTTATCCAAACCTATGAAGCACAATAACATGGCACGCTAAATTTAGTATTTGGTGCCATAACCAATATCATGATTTTGGAGAACTATAAAAGTACTCTACAAATTTGACAAAAAATAATACTTAAGTACCTTAAAACATCTACCAAATTCCAATACAAAAAATACATAATTGACAATGCCAATTTGTGGCATATAGAATCATAAATCTGTATGAGCCACAAAGGTCAATAAAGTCCCTTCTTTAAGGCCACTTTAATCCTTTCACAACCTTAGCTGCTTAAGAGTGCCAGTTCTAAGGTTCAGGGAGAACCATAGTCTTCATCTCTTTGTTTATGGAACTGCCAGCCTGCACAAATCCTTGAGTTGTTCCAGTGACATCCAATACCGATGCAGATGGGTCGAAAAAAAAGGGCAAAAGAAAAGAAATAAAAAAATGAAAATAAAATAACTTCACTGTTAGTTAGGTGAAGGAGCCACTGGTCGCCAAAAACCACCGGAATCAGGTTGTCAGGCTCGCGTGAAGGGAAAGCACAAGCCAATGAGGGGCAAAGAAGTGTGATTGAGATCTATTTGTGTGGAAGAAAAAACACTAAATTGATGCCCTAAAATCAGGTTTAGTGCCTCGACTAAGGCGGTGGTAAGGCAAGCGCCGCCTTTTGCAAGTGCGCCTCGCCACGCTCCATGCCATGGTGACATGATGCGTATCGGGTTTTCGATGGGCCAATGAGCGGCAATCACAACAGCCGATCGCCGAACCACGGGCTAACTCTCGGCGGCAGGTGCTCCGGGCCGCGCCCCAGCGCCAGACCGGGTGACCCGTCAAGCCCGAATGGCAGCAGCCGGTTACGCGGAGGTTCGCGTAGCAAGCACAGACGACATTGAGCCGCAGGCTCGACAAGCAGACGGCGCGACCGAAGAGACAGCGCATTAGGCAGACAGCGCGCGGGTCATCGAGGCATACCGAAGAGACAGCGTGGACATCGACAAGGCAGATCGAGGAGACAGCGCGACTGGCTAGGCAACTGCGCGAGGCAGCACGGCCAGCAAGGCGACCGCGCGAAGCAGCGAGCGCAACACGGGCAAGGCGTGCGCAGGAGATGCGGACGCTGGTGGTGAAGGTGATGTGCACGCGGGCGGCCGAGGATCTCGGGCAGGCGTAGGGAGCGCGGACGTGACGCGCAGGCGCCCGAGGACCTCGCACGGGCATGATACGCAAGCACGCGGGGCCGTGCCTTGCGGGCTAAGATAGCGGATCTTCTATAATTTCACTAGCATTGTGATTTTTATTCCTAGTTTAGTTTGTTTAGGTAATTGGTTATCTGGGTAATTCTTAGGACTTTCCTTAGGACTAGAGTTTAATTCCTCATAGGCTTAGTATTTCTTAAATATCCATGTTATTATGTTCAAATTATTCAAGCAATAAGATAAGAAAAATCGCTCGTATTGAGCACAAATCTCTTGTGATTAACAAGGCCATTAGTATGTGTTTTCACAAACTATCGTGTAGAAGCAAGGCTGTTAGCGCGTGCTTCTACGCAAAACAAGTCCACGGTCATCATGACGCCATAGCATCACCTCTTAATAAGTGGTAAAAATGTTTATCATTGGTCATTTACGTGCCCAAGAGATTTCGACATGAACCCAATGAACAGCAGAAGTCTCATTTTCAAAAAAGTGAAACCAAAAATTAAATAAGCACTCATTAATTAAAGTACTTCAACATGATTGCACACAAAATTATTCTGCCCTGCGGCTCTTATTGAATACACTATGCAAGTGTCAAATATTGTTTTAGTTCCAAACCTTGGCTTGGCTGACAGCTTGTCTTTCCCATGTTAAAATGTTATCCTTTGCATTTCAACTTACACATAAACAATATAATCAGCAGTTTCAAATGTTGTCCAGTATGGAGCAACACCCTTAAAATTCCTATGCTTCTACCGGTCAACCTCTACCTCCCCACCTCATTGCAAATCTCGTCAATTTTCTAGATAAAGTCTATCAGTAACCGCCCTGCAAGTCAATTCGACATCATCCTCCTCCAATTTAGGGCAAGAATATTCAGACTAGCATCATAAATATAACAACATTGTCCTATCCCAACTTATTGTGTACACTTCTTATTCCAAGAAAAAAACTACATCAGAAACTTATCTCCCAATCCCTACAGTTCTAACTATATGCAAGTCCTATTTCATGCTTAATTCGTTCACTGCTCAACATCACTTGATACAATGTATAGTAACCAACCTTCTCAATTCTCCATGTTGCAAGGAGATGCTATTTGGCCAAATTAAAGATGGTTTGAAAACTTATAACTATCACACACATGGGAACCAACTACCACATTGGATCTTCAGACAGAATGCTAATGATGCAGTAGAGAAACACTGCTGCAAACAAATTGCTCAATGTAGTCTTAGAATCCAACTAAAATCTGCCAACAAGAACTTCAGCGACAATTATTTATTACTTCAGTAGTCTAGTGCACAAAGTTTGATCTTACACCAATCTCAAAATTCTAGTATTTTTATAGGTACATTTCTCAATCCTTCCTCAATTCAGTGATCAGTAGATCCATATAATCCTAAAACTGTCCCCTACTATCAGGATACGATGTCATCTGTCCCCATAAAGCATTACAAATTTCAACCTCCAACGATCTATATACCTGCTCAGAGCAATCAAATTCACAAAATGAATCCCCAAAATTGTGCTCTACGAATCCAACTGAACCTATATCAGTAGCCACATCACCGAATATCCAGTTAAACCCAATTATGCTAACGCACTCTGAAGCAGAACCGCAGCTATTTGATCTCCACGCTCGATCCATTACCAGTCGACTGGAATTCAAATATACAAGCAAAAAGACGACACACGCACGCATGGAAGTACACAAAAGAAGAGAAACCATCACTAACCTCAGGCGCGTCCCAGAGGAGAAGGGATTCATGATTGGGTCCCTGTTGAAGCTCCGAGATAGATCTACCAGATCCAGCTGTAACTCTTTTTGAATTCTACTCACACTTATAGCTTAGCCGCTGCCGAAAAAATTGTTAACGCGTACGAGATCAGAAATTAAGCGAGCAGAGATCCAGCGACGTGAAAGAACACAATTTGGATCTGAAAAGTGAAAATGGAGAAAACAGAATGGCTGCTTCGGACAATTATATTAAGTAGCAAAAATAAACTCGATTAATTCTTGTGGCGAAAGAACTTGAGATTGTGAAGTAAACGAGAAAGTGAAATTAGAGAGAACGCCATCTCATGTTAAAATCACAGGTGCGGGTGGCAGGTAGATTTTAGAAGGTGTTGCTAGTCACCGTTTCCTATTGTACCACTTTTTCTTTTGGACTATTTTGTCCCATACATTTCTTTCAAAAACTCTAAAAATTGTAAATTCCCTATATATAGGTGGCGATTTCTGACGAAAATAAGCAACGACGAGGGACCATAATATGTCGGCTGGCTAATAATACTGGCGAACCGCCATCGGCCGGCCGGCGATTGCGGTTGTCAATGGTCAGACTTTTACGATTTTTTTTGTATTTTTTATAAAATTGTTTTAAGATTTTTTTTGTATTTTTTTCTTTCGGAGTTCTTTTACCTTTTTTGACCACAACAGTCCAATTGTAACTGCAGGCTGCAACATTTCGATTTTGACTGTGGGTTGACTCGGGTCTCGGACCGGGTTGACCCGACCTAGATAATTAAAAAATAAATAAAAATCTGATCATCGATTTTCAATTGTTAATTTTTTGGACAGTTGATTCGATCCTGTTTGACCACGGGTTTGATTCGGGTCCTAACTCAATTCAGCCGAAATAATAATAAAAAAATAAATAAAAAAAAAAAGTTAAAATGGACCGTTGGGCCAGGGCTATGAAAATGCATGACCGTGAATCGGGCTGATTAAAATCTAGACTAGGCCCGAACCCGTGGTCAATGAGCTTGACCAGACTGGGTCCGTGGCCATCTCTATCCACAGGCCACAACCCAACAAAATCGAGAAAGTTCCCTTCATTAGAGCATCTTCAATGGTCATTCTATTTTTCTATTTTGTTGCCACATGGCACAAATAATCTTATGTGGCTTGAAAAAATTCTAGAAGGCTTTCTAGATGTAGAAGTCTTTCTAGACAACTTCCATTATATATTAGAATATTTATTTAATTTATTTATCTTCTTCAACCAATTAAATTTTTACACATCACAAATGATACCACAATTAACATTAACCATTGGAGACATAATTTTTAGTTTCATTCTCCATGTCATACAACACAAAATGGACAATTTTTTTAGTGGAGATGCTCTTAGAGCATCTTCAATGCTATGATTGTGAAAGACCATTATTTTTAACACATGTCAATTAGTGATTATAATGTTAATCCACATTGGAATAATGTTAAAAGATTAGAAATTTGAATAAACTAATATCTTCAATGCATAAATTTGATAAGAAGTTATTTGTATAAGTGGACCAATTAAATAATTCATTGACACAAGAAAAATAAATAATTAAAATAAATATAAAGTAAATTAATGAGTCATCATGTTTAACATGGTGTTATATATTAGAAACTGTGCTCAACATTGTCAACATTAAATGACATCTACCTCATCATAAAAAAGTTCACGACAAGATACATTGAAGAAAAAAAATAGTAACACACTTTCAAAAGTTAATGATATGGATGATTTTTTATAATGTCAAAAGTCACGGTGAGGTGCTTTTAGCAATCCACTCTCTTCTATTCACTGTAAAAAGGCAAACCCCAATCGGCTCATCATTCTTCCCTCAAAGCTTAGAGATCTATGATGGCTCCCTCATGGTGTTACACTTTCGCCTTTGTCTTCTTTACCTTCCTTCATTTTCGCCCAACCCCTGCTCAAGGTAAAGGATAACAAGAACAAATACAGAGTCAAAATATAGTTATATTTCAGTATTGCTATTTTTAATTTTTTATTCTTAACCCTTTTGACATTTACCGATAGGCGATGGTGGGAAACTCATCTTTGAAGACGGCTACACAGTCACCACAGTTCTTGACGGCGACAAGACAAACCTGAAAGTGAACCCTCATTCCATCCATCAACGCTCAGATAACTTCATCCTTCTCGACTCCGTTGCCAGCACTTTCTATACAGTATTAATCCCCTCATCCTCCAACGGTAGCCACCTCTTATTTATTACTTTTAATTTTTTTTTCCCCATCATAAACTGAAATAGTATTGTTGTTTTTTATTATTATTATTATTATTATTATTATTATTATTATTATTATTATTACTATTATTGCACTGAATGAAACATAGCAAATTATGTGGGTTCAATTTTTTCATCAGCCAATAGAATGGAATGTGTTTCGTTGGTTTTGTGTTGTTCTTGTGTGCAACATTGTGTAAGGGATTCATTGTAAGTTTCATGTTTATTGGCGATTCGAAATAGGGGAAAAAGAAAAGTTGATTGGTGGTAATATAATTTTTACTGTGTAGAGACTGTGATAAAGAAGCTGACAGGAAATGGAGAGCCTGGGTATCTGGATGGTGGCTTGGACTCTGCAAGGTTTAACAAGCCAAGGAGTTTTGCGGTTGATTACAATGGAAATGTGTATCTGGCAGACCAGCGAAGTATCAGGAAGATCACCAGCACAGGTATATAGTGATCAGAAGGTATATTTGAAAAACAGGGACTTGAAAATGGAAAAAGCTGAGAGAGACTTGCATTCTTAGAGCTCAACGATGATTTCGACGCGCGTGCTGATTTATTGGGCATTTTAATACAAAAGAAATAAACTTCCAAGTTATGTAGATATCTAGCATCGTTAATAGTTAAATGTTTTGTTGAAGAAAGTGTAGAATGTGTCGATGAGGGAGTAACTAATGGTGAGGAAACACGATATCTTGTGTGGCATTTTGGCACATAGCTGTAGGAGTTGCACAAGGAGGTGAATGGAGATCTGAATATGTTGGAAACTGTTAATTAGGTATAATTGCATTACTTCCACTTTCAAGATTTATTAGAGGATATAGTTAAGTTTTGGCATGTTTTTAGGAAAGGTAATCTGCAAAAGCAATGTTGTTTTCCAATTGTGTCATTAGAATTTCGCGTACCACAATTTGTTGCAATTTTTAATCACATCACTTTGTTTATTTTGTGCTCTGTTCTTTACCTAAATATTGAAGTGAGTTGAGTAGCTAAATTAACTGTAATTGGTCTTGTTAGTCAATATTTTTTGTCTAGCTGGTGAATGATTTATTACTTCTACTGGTGGGGAATATATATTGTACTCTAAAATCTTGCATTAACTTGATCCTCATTTTTGGACCATCTGCAAGTCTGTAGAGAGATGTATCATTCGTGTGTTCCAAAAGTAGCCTTGACATCTTTTTTTGCCTCAAGCATATATGTGTTCCAAACATGGTCTTAACATCTTTTTTGCTTTACTTGGAGTGGGGTCCTTATTTTTCTTGCAAGATTATTCAAATCTTATTTTTTGTGTGATACTATGACGACATATAAGGTGTTACCACAATTGCTGGAGGTTTTTCCCAAAAGGCTGGCCGTAAAGATGGCCCTGGACGGGATGCATCATTTTCAGATGATCTCGAGCTGACCTTTGTTCCCAAAAGATGTGCTTTGATGATCTCTGACCATGGTAACAGATTAGTTCGTCAGATATATTTAAAAGAAGGAGATTGTACAAAGCATTCTGGATCCGGTAAGCATTCGAGCTGTTCTTATGAAAAACTTCGGAAAGATTTTCTGTAATTTCTTCTGAAATATTATGCATCGAGAAACAACTTCAGTTCTCTTTTCTTAATGGCATTTTGTTAGGAGTAACGAATGAAGAGAATGAAATATGAAATTTTATTGCTGATAAAATAGTAACCACAAGCTTAAAGAGCTTCCTAACAAGAACAAACCCTGCTCAATACTAAATAGTGAAAGCTATTACAATATAATTTTTATTGCTTGCCTTCCTCCCTAAATAATAACAAATCAATCCAAATCCCAAAATTATCCCAAATTTATAGATTTATTCTTCTTTCCTTTTAGTTCCTTAACTATTATTTGTTTTTCAACATACTTTACACAATTTATGCTTGCTTCACGAGATCTCTATCACATACGCTTGCTATCGTACAAGGATTTTAGCTGTTTGAAAATAGTCCAACTACTATCATCCACATTTCTTCTTCAGGCTAAGTTCTGACAATAACCTATGTAATGACAAAAAAGGCATAGTTATTGTTCCAAAGTAGAAGTACCCATATACTTCTAAATTTGAATGTTAACTGTTAATTCGTAGAAACACTCTACTCACATATATGCCAAATCTCAAGCTTAGGTTTCACTTATATATCTAATATAGGGATTTATATTGTTTATGGAGATTACCAAGTTACTTGCTATCTCTTGCAGTTTTGGGGACCACCTCTGCCTGGATTTTAGGTCTCTTGCTCTCTAGCTTGCTTGGCCTAATCGTTGGTCTCGTGATTCGTCCATACCTTATTCTATTTGTGAGTGCCCATCCATCACGCACACTTCCAAGAATTTATAAGTAAAAAAATATTATCTTTCAACTCTAACAAATGCACTTTGTAGACAGGAAGGTCACACAGCCCTTCAGTCCAGCTGGACATGGACACATTGCCCAACGAATCTGGGGAGACAAATTGTGATGCTTTGTTACGGCATCAAAAGCGCAGTTGTTAATTCGAAAACCGTGTTTTCACTTTCTCGGCAAATGATCATTTTGAGCCTCTCTCAGCTATCTCTAATCTTACGTCCTTGGATGGTGAAGCCTCGTGGGACCCGTGAAAAGACTGTCTCTTTGATGGACTTGGATGAATTATCTTCTGATTATAGTAGTAGTAGTTTTAGTAATAATGTAATGGTGTCACCAGAGGTAGATGCTGAATTAAAGGATTTGCTCACTTTTGATGGAAGGGAAATGGTACTTACAGATGGATTAGAGGAGCAAGAAAATGGAGAAAGTGTTGATGTTTTGTTAAACAAGCACAACAAGATAGATGGTATGATAAGGGATAATCTCTTTAACTTTGAAGAGCAAGCGCGCAATGTTCGCCCGTCTGTGGAGTGTGGCTCAGTGGGCTTGGTCAAGCGGAGATGAATTAGTGATGTGAGGTAGTAAATATCTTTTGTTTCCTGATGAACACCTTCTGATGAGTAATCCTTATGTAATGTTAATATGTCTGCTTCTAAACTTATTCTTTAGCTATCTATTTGGTCAATTTCTGCTTGCTTGATGGGTATGTTTAAATGGATAAACTATTGAAAAATCGATATTTTTAATCCAAACCAGCTGTGCTAAATCATTTTTGAAAATTGAAGGTTCAATGGGTCCCTCTCTCTATCCTCTATGAAAGCAAGGTTGGTTATTTCTACAATAGTGACCACTGTCTGTCTTGATAAATTTAAGATTTATAGTTGTAGTAGCCCACACTCATCCATATTTAAAGTGAGCACCATCACGTATATAATGAAAGCTGCAGACATTGCAATTTGCAACAAACAAATTATATAATTGATGTCTGTTTCTGCTGTACGAGTCTGTTCCACGCAGATAGCATTCACAATCTTTTAGCACTTTCAAATTATTTATGTGCATTGGATCTGACATTCAACAATTTGAGTTTGATTAAACCAACAAGAGTTTTTGTCTTTGGCCAAGGGGAATAAACTAAACGAATAGAGCGCGCACACACACACACACAGGTAAAAATTCAATCAATTTCTCTCCACATACATACATTTTTTTTCACTTAACACAGAAAATATATAAAAACATACTAATTCTACTCCCCCAATAAACAAGGTTCCCACTCTCAAACAAACTAAATATAATTTCCCACCTAGCTACACCTCAAGCTTCCAACCAAATTCAGGCCACCAAGTAATAATCTCAGATTCTCAAGAAATCAACAAACAATTTCACAAAATCAAGGCCCGCACACGTACCCAGCCCGAGCCCGAACCTTGTGTTGATCATAGGCATGATGGTCTAGAGGCTTGATCACCACACTTTTTCCCTCCTTGTCCTGTTCTTGAATGGCCCCAAAGACAATCTCAGAACTCTGCTCATAGTACGTCTGTGGGGCCGCCGAACGATACATGAACTGATTTTGGTGACTCTTATTGCTCTGCTTCTGAAAATCACCCTCCCAGCCAGAATAAAAAGCCCTGCTCTGTTTAAGCTGCTGCATTTTCTCCGAATCTTTTGCCATGAAAGCATACGTCTTTTTAGGAGTCGGCGTCCTTGTGTCGATGGAAGGGGGCTCGTCTTCATCGGGTATGACAAAACTTTCTTGAACGGGCCAAGTGTTTGAGTACTTGATTTGCTGCTTGTATTGATGATGATGATGTGGGTCTGGGTGGTGAGGCTTTTTCTTGAAAATGGGGAAAAACCCGGACAAGATTTCGACTGTGGATTCCATGGTTTGAGCCATTAGCCTCGTTAGGGATGCAAAAAAGGTCTCGTCTTGTTTTTCAGGATAGTCCTCAGTTGGGATTAGTGGCTGTCGCATGGATGACTTCAATGGCTTTTGATATGAACCCTGAGAGACACCCTCGTTCGTTGCTTCATATTGATCCTTCAGTTTTCACAAACAGAGAAGAACATAAAATAATAATCGGTTGTAACAAAATTGTTAAGACAGCTTACTCTTTATCAGTCATGCTATGTTCAAAGAAACATTTATTTGTTACAAGAATGGATAATTACAAACACCGGGACATATGTTTAATGGCAAATACAAACTTTTGAGGCCAAGTGCATATTTTAAATTTCAATAGAGAATTGGATACTTTTGTGACTGGTAAATCTTATATGGAAGATGTAGTGTGTATAACTCACATTTTGAGACGAGACGATTGAACCGACCCTACGCTGAAGCAAAGCTAGCATGTAACCAAAGAAGCCGGCAGCCACAAGCACGGCAAATCCTGCACAATATCATTAAGAATTTATACATATGATATGAACTAGAAAAATAGCTGAATAATCAACATGAATGAAATTTGAAGCTTCATATTGCATTTTGTTTTTTACCAAGAGGGAAACCACTTCCATACTGATAGGCACAATCGTCAAAGTGGAGTTGTATTTCCCTAATTGCCTTATTCCCACGGTCGATAACAAGAAGAGAACAGCTGCTTCCAAGATAAACAACATCAAAATCGTTTGAAAATTTTGCATCTTCACTTGGTCCATCCACATGTCCACCCCCACGGCCCCGTTTGCCTCCTCCAGCTATTGTTGTGACCCCTAACAATAATAAAAGCCCCGACCCAATATTAAAAGGCAAAGATAAAATGGAACAGTTTAAACATTTCAACACGATCAAGATTTTAATGAAAATAAAAAACATAACTGGTTTTTCAAGTTTGGAAGTCATTGAAGATCACAAACTTATCCCTGAGTTTCAGTATAATAACAAAAAACAGCTGGCTATCTTTTAAAATTAACAGATTCAAATACATCCCTCAAAGGTCATCTTTAATACAATTATTCCCCCTTGACAGCCCCTAAATAATGCAGTATGTTGAACAGAAACGAACAAGAACTTGCAATTCAGATTCTCATAAGATAACTGGGGACTTTAACTGTAACGAGGCCCCATACCTCAAGGGTAATATACTAATATTTATAGTAACCTATAATTATTAGCAAAGCCTGCAAAAAAGATGTAAAGTCTTCCCACTTGAAGAGTTGTAGGTAGAATAACCTGTATCACTAATCTTCCGAATTGCCATATTATCTGTGTCGGCAATGTAAATGTTTCCTCTATCATCAACTGTAACCCCCTTAGGATGGTTCAACCTGGCTTCCCTCAATCTACCATCAACATGTCCTGAGTATCCATCTGCAGACCCTGAAACCAATCTTGGCCTGCTGTCTACAATTGTACAAAATGTTTACCAAAGTTAGAATCCAAATCAATAAGCACGGGGAGGATGTGAGAAAATGCACAATCCAGAGAAAAGAAGTAAGAATGAGATCTTGAAATTTGAAATGTAAACCAGAACAGCCATCTACAGTTATCAACAAAGGATGAGGATTATAATATTTCACAAGCTAGCAGGATTTGGAAAAAGTGAAAGAACTATTTGCAGACTAAAAAAAAAATAAGTGGAATCACTATATCGAAAAGACATTTGAGATTCTGTCAAAACTCAAGAGCCAGGCCATCATCAAATATGCATCATCAGCGAAATGCAGCCAATAGGTACAACAGATTGTGAATTTGGGAAAAAGGGAGCACAGCCCACTATCCAGAATCAGAAGCTAAAAGTATCTATACTTAGAGGAAAAGAAGCCTAAACTTAAAACACACGTGATGCAAACAGGAACAGAATAAAATGGAATATTACTCCAGGAAACTTACACAAGGACAAAGAGGATGAAATCTTGTAAAGGTTGCTGTTAGCAGAATCAAGAATAAGAAGGTCACCATCAGGCAAAACCTCGACAGAGTAGGGTTCGATCCCAAGCTTGCTACCATCAAACACAGTCTCCACATTATAACCACCCTCAAATTTCATCATCGGACGCCCTGCTATAGCTGCATATATAATATAAAATATTTCCTCGTCGCATGTAGATCAAAAAAGGCAAATGAATGAAGTACCCAGATATAAATGGACATTCCGAAACAGTTGCACAGTAGCAGAGAAATAATAATAATAATAAATAGGATTACTGAAAGCATCTATGCAATTGAAGCTATACCAGTTTTAGTTGTGGTCTTGAGAGATGAAATCCATTTCATCAGCATGGAAAATGCATTCGAGAACAACCCATTAACAATTCCTGTCAAAAAGAAAAAAAAATGAAAACACATTTTAGAATCAAAATGAACAGAAGCTCTAGATAAAACCTCAGATACATATAAGGCTTCTGCAAAAGCAGATATACATACTTGCAGGTGAGGAAGGGGCAGAAACAGAATAAACACCACCAACGAGAAGAAGAAGAGTGAGAAGCAGAACAAAAACGTTGTTCCCCATTTTCAACGCCATTTTAGATGTGTGAAGAAAAAGAATATATATGTATATTAAGGGAGCTCACGGAATTTGTTCAAAATGGAGGTGGGAGCTCAGCATTGCCGTAAATCAAAACCCTAGCAGACAAAGGGAGAGCGGGTGAAAGGTTTTTGTGGGTTCATAGAGATTCCTGATGAAAAGGAGCTTGAGAAAAGATTTGGAGAAAAAAAGAAAAAGTGGTGGATTTTTTTGAAGAGTGAGCTAGGGAGTGAGAGAGTGTGAATTGGTTGATGAGAGAGAAGAAAAAGGGAGGAAATGAAAGAGACAAATGAGAGAGAGAGAGAGACTATGTGTGGTGGTGGGTGGAGGGCCACTGCTTAAATTATTATTTATTTATTTATAAGATTAAAAATGACACCCAGAATCATATGCTGTTACTGTGTGTTTTTTTGTGTGTGTGTGTGTGTGTGTGATAATCTTGTTACATCATAAAAGGCACTATAAAATCTATCTTTTTTTTCTTTTTCGTATTTTATTAGCAATTCACTATGTGTGTGAGAGAGAGTATAAAATTTGTTTTGTTTAGCAAATCACTGTGTGTTTTCTTTTCTGTGCTGTAGACACTGGACACAGAAAGGGCTATTTGCAATTTTATTTTTTTANAATTAGTGATTTACACTTGTGTAATCTTGTCTTTGGAGTGGGGTTGCGTGAAATCTATGTTTGATAAATATAAGTGGAAAAGGCAACGGCCCATATCAATTCAACATAATAAATACCTATCCATATCAATTTTATAATAATTAATGAGTAAGCTTCCTCATACAATAATTTATAAATTTAAAAATACAGAAAAGATAATCTATTATTTCACTATGTTTTTATGTAGGTTTAAATTCTTAATTTTTATTTTTTATATTTACATTGTCCAAGCTTGCGTCTGACTGCTCTGAACACCAAGTCCCCAACACCTTAGAGATTTAAAGATTAAACCCGAGATATAAACGAACTAAACTCAGGTTCCTACAGTTATATTACTCCAGAGTCACAAGGAACCCCTTTTCATTAGGAATTGGTCAACAGAAATCCACTTTAGGTTTCTCTCAGGATTCAAACTCTCCATTCTGTAGATAAAGGTCGCTTCCTGCAATTGGTCGACACCAGTCTGCCTATGTCCGAGAGCAAGTTTGAATTGGTTTTTATGTAATACAACAGTACGGGTGATGTGGGATAACCGTACAAGGTCAATTAGACCAAGGAAGCAACTGAACCGAATGGGGTTAGTCATCAGGTCAAACAGAGAATGAAGACTTCACAGGTCGAAGGATCCTCAGGTCGACGAAGACGTCAAGGATATGGAGAATACTAGCAGGTCGAACTAGGACCCTTGGTTGGCCTGATTGAAGTTTGACTTGAAGGAATATCTGGTCGAAGGATCGACCAGATGATCGTAGCAGCAGAGCTCGACATCGATGATACTCTACCTCGAGGTAAACAGGGTCGGTCGATCAGACAGTCTAATGAAGCAGACTAAAGAATAAAAAAGATATTATGGGGATTAAACCCCCACATGGATAAGGCCACGTGGCCTAATAGAATCAGGCAGTTTGAGCAGTTTGGGTAGCTCGGGCAGTACGAACGGGCACTATGAGCAATCCACACGAGCAGACTTGGACAACAAGGTATCATCTCCCTATATAAGAGAATGAGATATTCTCTGAATTAGATTACACTCTCAACATACATTTTCATACTGCAGTTCATCTTCTACAAGTGTTAACTTAAACATCGGAGGCTCTTCACCGAAAAACCCATCTGATGAGTTCTTCAGGTCCAAAAGCATTCAACTGACATATGAGCTCAAGATCAGGCCGATTCCGGCCGATTGGAATTCTTTGACATACCATTTGGCACCGTCTGTGGGACTTTCGTTCAAAAAGCCAACAAACACCATATCCATGGCCGACGAAATTCCCAGAAAAAACTTCGAGCATACTTTCGACGATGAGTGGTCGAACGCTCGTCCGTTCCTAGCAAGCCCACCACCATGACTCTCCAGACCTTATCAGATCCCAATGACCCCAATACCTCATTCTACAGGCTCAGGGAGCTCGTCGGTAGTCCCGGTGGATGTTGCAGGCTCGAGCCAGGCGCAGGAGACTCGAGCGACTCAAGGGACGGTGGTTCGAGTGCAGACGCAACCAGATCTAGCCCAGGTGCAGCCAAAGAGGACAATGGCTCAGGCGATGGGGCCACCTAGGACTGAGGCAGAGTGAGCTGACCACCAGCTGATCATGATGTCAAGGTAGGAGTTGGAGCGAATGATTGCAAACGCCATGGCGGCCGGAGCGATTCTACAGGCCACTCACTATTCTTCTCAGGCCACCACTGCGCCGACCACGGTGGTAGAAAAATCAGCAGGAAACGGAGATGGACGAGTCGAGCAACGGAGAATGAAGTGATTGTAAGCATCAATCTTTCGAGAGAACGGCATAGCAGATCCGGCAGCTGCAGGCAAAAGTGGATGGTAAACCCGCTGGTCGAGCTCGAGGACACCATTTCTCTAGGTAGATTCTCGACGCAATGTTGCCGAACAATTTTCGGGAGATCAGTCTAACGTACGATGATTCGACAGATCCATCGAGGCATGTGCGGTAGTTTGAAAACATGGAAGTTTTGCATGGTTATCCAGATGTTATGAGTTGTAGGGCATTCTTGTCGACTATGAGGGGAGGCTCACAAGATTGACCAGGAGGCTTTGAGCTGGTCCCTGCAAGAGTTCTTTGGCCAAAATGCCAGCTCGAACGTATGACGAGGTGCTGAAGCGGTGCAAGAAGTACGTTAACATGGAGGAAATCGAGGAAGATTTTGCTAAGCTTGAGCAGATGGCTTGTCCCAAACTAAAAAAGAAAAGGGCTCATTCACTAAGAGGGATAAGCAGGAGAGATCGGAAAGACGGAGAGAAGATCGGTGGAAAGATAGACCACTCCAAAATGGTCAAAGATATGTCAAGTATACACCACTGAATACTCAAATGTGGGAAGTGCTCGAGGCGATAGAATGGAACACAGACGGTCGAGCGGTGACGTGGCCGAAATCACGAAGGGATGGACCAACTCAGTCAAAGTCTGGTCGATACTGCAGGTTCCACAGGGATTACGACCACACGACAGAGAATTGCAGGCACTTAAAGGACGAGGTTGAGAGATTGATTCGAGTTGGGCATTTAAAGGAGTTTGTGTACCATGACCGAGAAAAGAAAAAGGAGAAAAGGAGATGTCGGGAGGATTCATTAGAAAAGGAGGACTGAGATGAGGCCGGCGATAGAGAAGAGATAGTGGATGTCGAAGAGGAGGTGGTAAGAGAGGTCGAGAGAGAGAGACGGGCGAGATGGTGAGGAGGATGAGGCCCCACCTAAAAAGGGGGTCATATACATGATTTCGGGAGGTCCAACCGATGGAGATTCAATGCAAGGAAAGAACATGCTCGGGCCACAAAGAGGAAGCGAGAGGAGGTCGATATTACAGCTCGAGCATCTTCTAGAAAGAGTACATTTTTAACTCAACTAATCTGCTTAAATCTCTTTTTAGAGATGTAAAATTATAACACATGATATTGCATTTACGATCAATTTGCTAGCAAATTTTACTGTTTCACTTTTTAAAGAGATGTCGTGATGAAGTTCAATAATGTCCAATTATATTTCAAGTATGATAAGTTATCTTTGGAATTAATTTATGATATTGATGTATCAGGACATCAACTGTATAATTGATCTCTGAAATATTAGGTCCTTGATTGGTTATATACCTCTGAAACAATATTGCTAGCAAATATTTTTTTTTATTGGCATGTATTTTAGATCGTTATTTTTCGGTATTTACGGTATGATCCCGATACAAACCGGCATAACCGTAAATCCGGTATTTTGTGTGTAATTATACCGTACCAATGACCGGTATCCGGTATTATCGGCCGATACAGTACGGTATTTAAATCACTGCATATGGTGACCGAGTTGCGACCCAAGGTCACAATGTGACCTGGGTTGCGTGATTTTTGACAATTTATTTTATTTATTTATTATTATTTTTTTTTGTCTTTTTGATAGTGACCTTAGGCATTGGGTCAGATAGTGTAAGCTAATTCTTGACTTGAAGGAATGCTAAAGACCTTTGCCCTTCCAAACGATGCTAGATATAGTGTTTTCCAATATAGCTGTTTGGAGAAAAAAAACATTAAAAAATACAATTTACCAAATGCAATTATTGACTAGTCAACAAGTCAAAGAAGCTATAAAATGGTCAAACAACCAAAAATTAGCTTAAAAGCCAATTACCAAACCCCAACCAATTAGCCGACTTTATTAGCAAGCCCATCAAGAAGTCAAACTCGTCTTCACAAAATTTAACTCTGTTCCATATACAATCGAATCATCATCCAATTACAATTTAACTCTTCTCGTTGTTACAATTACAAATGACATGCAGGTGTAAATTATCCTTGTACAGTCCTCAATCATATTTCATCTCTGCACCGCAAAATCATAGTTATCTACCTGAGCGTGACTTGTCTGTCCTCTTTTAACTCCAGAACAAACAAATAAACTACAAAACATACATAAGTTATACCACAGACCCATAACAAGACTTAAATTAGCATTACATTTGCAAAAGGCATTGTCAAACNCAGTGTCCATCTGCAAACAACTAAAGAAACAGACCCCTCTACAACTACCACTCCATGACTCCAAAGCCAACCACAAAAAGTCCATCCACAAAACCCAGTTTTACTCCACAAGTTAAACTTAAAAGCACATCTATCTCCATCAAAAGTTTTCCTTTCCTTTTCCTAGTCAAATGAACAAACATCAAAACACACTATCAAACGCTACCCGGAACTGTGGGCTCTGCTGAGTCTTGGGAGTCGAGGCCCCTGCTAGGCCCAGAAGCATCCTCACCACATCTGACGTGTCGTCCAAGTAATACCTTGCCTTGCTCGGCTTCTGCCCCACAGTGCATGCAAAGATCTCGGGAATTGCAGACGAGCTGAGGACGGCATTTGTTATGCTCTCAAACATGTCCTCGTCCGACCTGTCGTCCCCAATGCACAAAACAAAGTCAGGTGGGCTGCCATTGCTGGTCAGCGTGGACAGCACCTTCTCTGCCACCACACCTTTCGTCACTCCCTGCAGATTAAGATATACATTAATCTACTGTATCTCTTGAGTGAATAGTGAATAAAAAACCTAAAATGGGGTTTTCCTAATACAGTAATGGGCTGTATGTAATTTTGAAGGATAGCCTGTGTATCTAATCTAACATTAAGTAAAACCAAGGGCACTTTTGTAATTAACTCGCA